TCGCTCTCCGACTTCGAACAGTGTGATTGATTATTTTGTGATGGGTCCTGGGATCGCCCATCTGGTTGCCCTGGTATCGGCAGACACCTCCTGGGAAGTAAAACCTCACCGTCCTGTTCGCGTCGAGTTCCGAGGAGACTCACTTCGTTTAAAGCAGCTTGTATACCGCACTCACCAACGTTTGCCAGTCGATCCGCCTTTCGGACCGTCTCCGGCACCCGTCGAGTGGAGCGGTGCCATGATGCACGCGGCGCACGCGATCGCCACCAGTATGCATGCTGCTGCGACAGAGGCCTGGGCAGTGCTGTCGAATGCCTGGGGTCACTTTGTCGACTGTGCTGAGGTGGAGCTGCACAGAGTTTTAGGCACGGAGGCTAAAGAATTAGGAGAGAGGAGCAGAACGATCAAGGCCTCTTGGGTTTCAGTTTTCTACCGCCCGAAGAACCCAGATGATACACTCCAGGTTATTTCAGGTTGGAAATGGGTTTTTCAGACTTTCACAGAGCTGTTTAACTCGGTCGCCGCCGAGGATTGCGACCTGTATGCTTGCCAGCACCTCCAGGTTGTGTTGCAACACTCCTGCCCAGGCGAAGGTTTGAATCCAAGGCTGGACGCCACCTTGCGCGCCATGCGTGAGATAGCGATAGCATGGAGCGCAGACCGACCCTCGGAGCAGTCGTGGCGCGATCGAGCCAGCCAGTTTTTGGAAGATATCCAGGCTGACTATGATGAGGCCATCAACAATGGCGAGAAGTCTTCACGCGATTCTTGGGACGCCTGGCAGGATAAGTCGCTAGCGGGCTCTGCGAGACTCATGCATAGGCTCACGAAGGTCCAGAGGAAGTGGCAGCCCACTATCGTCGAGCGCTCCCCAGGGATCTTCACATCGGACCCCCAGAGCCTCCTGGCCTCCGAGACCATCAAGCTAGGCGAGTTCTGGAATGCTAGCATGTCTCCGCCGTCGGCCTGGATACCGAATCGAGATTGTTTCCCACGCGCGAGCCCGTCGGAGATACGAGCAGCCTCGCGCTCTTTTAGCCGCTACACTTCGCAGTCGCTCGACGGCTACCACCCCAGGCACTTCGCATGCTTGAGCGACCTAGGGCTGGAGGTCCTGGCGATGCTCTATGAGGCGATCGAGCGCCTTGGTCTGTTCCCAGCGCAGCTGTTGTGGATGCTGATGCCTCTCTTGGAGAAGCCTAAGGGAGGACTACGCCCCATTCTCCTCTTGGGATCCCCAGTCCGCGTCTGGGAACGTTTGCGCCGATGTCAGTGTGATGAATTCCTGGAGCGGGCCCATCGGCCCTACTGGTCTTCCGGGTCTGGACAAAACTCGGAGGCGGCCATCTGGAACCAGAGTGTCTTATCGGAACAGGCTTCTTCGAGTGGCAAGGTAACGGCAGGTTTTATCTGGGATGGAATGAAGTACTATGAATCCTTGATCTTGGTCTGGCTCCGAGACAGGGCCATTTTCTGGAGGATCCCCATGGTGCTCATCAAGACCCTATACAACCTTTGGAGATCCCCGAGGATCCTGAGGCTGGGGGCTAATCATTCACCCCTGGTCCTCTTTGCAGAGTCTGGGCTTCCTGCTGGGGATATTTTCAACGATGTGTTTGTCAAGGCTTACGCGATGTTTGAGTTTGACATGTGGTCCCAGCGGCACCGTGAGGTCTCCCTTGGGTCCTACGTCGACGATGACACTGTGGCGGCGTACGGCGATGAAGATGCGATTGTAGCCAACTTAGTTCGAGCAGGGATTGACCTCAAGGATGTCTTTGATCACAGGCTGAACGTCCGCTTGGCTGAGGACAAGGCCGTCACTTTCGCCTCGTCTCAGCGACTTGCATACCGTCTGTGCCGTCGCCCCCGTGCTGTCTGTCCATCGGCTGCGACCAGCGCGGCCGTCTCGCTGGGCGCGGACTTGGCACCAGGCCAACGGCGAACCTGCAAAGGAGGCATGAATAAGAGGAAGGAGCGTTTCAGGATGATGAGGAAGAGACATAAACTGATCTCGCACTATCGTCGTAAACTTCCTCGGGATAAATCCAGAATGCAGAAGATTTATACTGCTGGAGTGCGTCCTGCTGCTGGCTATGGCGCCATGGTTCTAGGCATGTCGGACACTGAGCTTCAGTCTCTACAGCGAGTCTTGCTAGCAGGCAAAAACCCAGCTCATCGGGGGGCCTCCCTGACGGCCAAGTTGGTCCTGCACGGGTACCCTGCCTGGAAACAATCGGTGGCCCCTGCCCATCAGTGGGCGACCAGCCTCTGGAGGTCGATAACCACCCCATCTACTTCTCCATTCTCGTTTCGGCAGCACATACAGATATGGAGGGATGTTGTTCAGTCTCAGGAGCTCGACCTGGAATCCACGGGATGGCGGAAATCGAAGGGCCCCATTCACAGGATGCTCTTATGTTTGCACAGGATCGGCTGGAAGGCGGTGGACTTCTCAGTTTGGCACGATGAGCGGGGATATGTCATTGACCTCCTGTACACCTCGCCCGCTCTCCTCAATAAGTTGCTTGAGGAGGGCGTCCAGCGGATGCACGTGCGTAGGATGGCCCAGGCCACTCCGATGTTCCCTTCCTCCCGCGTCTCACCCGATCCCCTGAGACGAATGCTACGCTCAAAGAAGCTCGACGGTCGGCAGAAATACTGGCTTTCTGCGTGTTTCTCTGGGGCCTGCTGGACTGCGGATCGGCTCAAATCCTCGGGGTACGTTTCGGACGGTTTGTGTCCCCTTTGTGGGGGGCCTGATTCCCTAGTCCACAGGCAGTTTCTGTGTTCGGACCCGACCGTCGAAGCAGCACGCCGTGAGCATCTCTCAGACGAAGAGATGCTAGCGGCTTGTAACTGCCCGCCTGAAAAACTGCTGTTTTGGTCTCGGCTTATGGTGGCTCAGCCTGAGGCACCTCACCCTTGCCTCGACCTCGACCCCCTTCTCCAAGGGCCGTCAGGTGAGCCACTATCGGTCGAAGAGTTTTGTGAACGAACCGTCAACACCCGCATTGTTGTCGATGGTTCGGCTACTCAGCTTGCCTTTCGCGAGCTGAATCGTGCCACGTATGCTGCTGTCTTCTTCGATCCGTCGAGCGAGACCCCGTATGAGGTTCGCGCTCGACTTCTGGGAACGGTGTGGCCTGGCCTTCCTCAGACGGCCCAGTCGGGAGAACACCTCGGGGCTGCCACGCTCTCTTGCGTGGCCACAGGCCTTAGTGAGGCCCACTCGGACTGTCTTGGAGTTGTCAACCTAGCCAATGCGCGTCAGTCCGTACAGCTGGACCCTGGCCAGGTTTTCGCTGGCCTCAGACGGCGCGCTCTCCAGGAGCCAGGCCAGCGAAGCATCGCCTCTTTTGCTCACACGCCTGCGCACAGGTCGGACGAAGTGATAGCCGCGCTTCCCGCCCAGGAACGCAAAATAGCTCTTGGGAACCAGGACGCGGACCGACTGGCGAAGTATGCTTTGTCTCTCCACCCCTCTTTGTCCGATGAGGAGCTTGAGCAATTAGATAAGGACGTGGCTCTACTGCGAAAGCTAGTTGCCATGTTCGGTGCTGTTTTGTCGCTTTTTCCCAAGTTACAGTTTATTCGGGACCCCACGGCTCCTCGGGTGAAAGCTCGGGCCCTCCGTGCCATTGAGTGGCATGACTGGCGTGTGCTGGACCCAGGGGACGATGAAACTCCCTCGCTCGCCAGGTGCTCGAAATGTTTTAAGACGGCGATTGGAGACAGCAGACCCATGGAAGGCTGCAAGGGCCTGCCCACTGCTCTCCGCAGATTGCAAGGCGCCGAGAGCGAGCGGGGCCACCTCCTGTGCACGACTTTCATGCAGGATGACGAGTGTGCGCCTACTGTTTTCTGTTTCCGCTGTGGTGCCTTCACCAGCAAGCGGTGTTACCTCCTCGGCGGGATGTGCGGACCTCCTGGCCCCAGCGGGCGAGGTGCCCTGTCCCGCATCCGTCGAGGTTTCCCGCCCCATTACAGAAATCGGGGCACGGTCTCTGCAAGCGAGGGCACCACATGTCGTGCGTCGGCCAGGTATGTCCTGCTCAAAGCAGCTGAGCCTGGACCGTCCTCCTCCTCCTCCTCTCGCTCGGGCCTGATTTCGACACCTGGAATGTCGGCCCTGGCGGAGAGGATTCGGCAGAGAGAGGAGGCATCTCGTGCAGCAGGTTTGGCCTGAGGCCGTGGTTTTGATGTTCTGCCCATGGGCCCTCGAGGAAAATCCTCCTCCTCCTGTGCACCCAGTTCCCTTTTCCCGATTGAGCATATATCACGAAGTGGCATTTCTGTGGGAGTCGCAGGTCTGCAACGACACGCGTCTGTGAATAGAGAAACATCAGCTCGATGGGAAGGAATGGCAGGGAGGGATAGCATGTCAGATGAAGCTTAAACGTACCTAACTGTTCCCGGTGTTCCCCGGTGTTCCCACTACGGGTTCCACAACGGCTGGGGGAACACATGGTCCAAGACCTTGGCCTGACTTCTACACAACGTTTGGCCGCATGGGCGCTTCCAAAAGGCAGGGTGCGGCAGTGATTCTCCGTAGGCGTCTTCGACCGCTGTCTCCTTGCTCAGACACCCATCGAGGACTCACATCTTATACGGACGGCTGACCGTCCACGCTTCGAGTATGGCGCAACTGTGGACCGCACTTGGTCGCTCACGTTCCCAGGGCTGCCATGGAACGCCGGACGCAGCAACTTCCCCCGCGGCTGCCGCGCACGGCCTCGCAGCGCTCGAACCCCACCCAACAAGTTCGTGAGAAGGCTGCGTGGCGCGATGTTGCTCCCATCGTACATAAGGACAAAATCCAAAAGTAATTCCGATCACCCAGGATGAAAGTATAGAAAAAGTGTCGAACGAGTACCGCCTCCCAGGGCAACACAAGTCAAAGCCAGCAAGTTTCAGTACTTTCTTGGTGCTCGAAATTCTCTCTGGAGGATCATAAGCGCAACGGGAGAAAA